TAGCTAGGCTGACAGTGTGGCTTAGTCGGTAGGACAGTTTCTGGGAGCCCTGGGGTTCATCTGGAGCATAAACCAAGCATGGTGGTACATTCCTGTAATCCCAGAACATAGGGGTAGAGATAGAATTACAAGTTCAAGTCATCCTTGACTACTTGGTGCATTCAAGGCCAGCCTGGGTTATATGATAATCTCTCTCTCTCAAGAGAAAAAGAGAAAGGAGGAAGGGAAGGAGGGAGGAAGGGAAGGAGGGAGGAAGGGAGGGAGAGAGAGATGACTCAGCAGGTAAATGTGCACTTTCCACACAAATCTTCACCCGAGTTCCATTCCTGGAACCCACATAAAAGCCAGATGCAGTGGTGCAAAATCCTACAGCAAGATGGGAGATAGAGATGGGAGATAGAGATGGGAGATGATAGAGACGGGAGATAGAGATGGGAGATGACAGAGATGAGAGATAGAGATGGGAAATAAAGATGGGAGATGATAGAGATGGGAGATAGAGATGAGAGATGATAGAGATGGGAAATAGAGATGGGAGATGATAGAGATGGGAGATGATAGAGATGGGAGATAGAGATGGGAGATGACAGAGATGAGAGATAGAGATGGGAAATAAAGATGGGAGATGATAGAGATGGGAGATAGAGATGGCAGAGATGAGAGATAGAGATGAGAAATAAAGATGGGAGATGATAGAGACAGGAGATAGAGATGGGAGCTAGAGACGGGAGCTAGAGACGGGAGATGATAGAGACAGGAGACAGAGACAGGAGATAAAGATGGGAAATAGAGACGGGAGTGTCGTCTAGAAGCTCAAGGGTCGGTTGGCCAGGAGTAGGAAAGAGCAGAAATTTGAGAGACCCTGCTTCAAAAACAAGGCAGCTCAGCAGGCAAAGACACTTGCTATTCAGCCCTGAGATGGTGGCCTGAATTAAACACTTGGAGATTCATGCAAAGGCAGAGGGAGAGAAACAACTCCATGAAACTGTCCTCTGATCTCCACGTGTATGCCATAGCATGTGTGCTCACATATGCATCACACACAAATGATAATAATAATAATAATTTTAAATAACTACTTTAATTTTTAAGTGTGGAAGTTGAGAACTGACTTCTGAGAGTTGTCCTCTGACTTCCACACACATGCTGGGGCATGAGTATGTGCCCACACTCACACGCCACACCCACAGCCACACACAGAGTAGTGATAAATAAAAATTTTAAAGAAGAATTTTAGTGGCTGGGCAGTGGTGGCACATGCTTTTAATCCCAGCACTTGGTGGCAGATACAGGTATATCTCTGAATTTGAGGCCAGTCTGTCCACAGAGTGAGTTCCAGGACAGCCAGGGCTACACAGAGAGACCCTGTCTTGAAAAGGGGGGGGTAGCTTAAATGGCACAAGGCACTGTACACAAAGCACTTTCCACACTGTATTTATTGAGAGCAGGAGGCGTGTGCTACTGAACAGACACCTTCCTCCCTCCAGATCCTGCAAAAGCCTTGCCTGCTCTATAGAACCTTCCCTGTTGGCACACACAGGGTTAATAGTCCTGCCTCCATGGCCACAGAGCCCTGTCTATTGTTGACCTAATTTTACTAGCTTTTAATTATTTATCAAAGTGACTGCATCCCATTCCAGGCTGTGAACACCTTGAGGGCTAGGACCCTGGCACATTAATCATTATTAGCGTTGGCATCCCACAGTGACTGGCATATAGTTGCTGCCCATTAAATGTTTGTTGAATAAGTGAAGTAACTAACACTGTGTCTCCCAGTGTTTCTGGGATTTTAACGACTGCTCTCTCTGCCAGGCCATTTTCTTGGCTCCATCCTTTGGACCGGGGCTACGGCAAGTATGATCTGCCAATTATGTTTCCAGTGTGTGACAAGGCAAGTGGAAAACAGAGAATAAGTGTCCAGACGTGCCAAAGCAATCTTATTAGAATCATGGAGGCCTACTGGATCCTCTAGGTTTTTAGTTGTGCCTTTATTTTGTGTGCCTTCATTTAAAACTATTTTTTATTTCCTAGTCATTTATTCCCACTATATTTGCAATAGTGTGACCAATTAGAAGTTTAAAAATAACTAGGTTTGATGGCGCATGCCTCTAATTCCAGGAGTTGGAGGCCAGCCTGGGCTAGAAAGTGAGTTTCAGGCCAGCCTGGGCTACTAAGATCCTGCTGCAATAAATAAATAGGCCTGGTTCTTAGTCACTTAGAGGTCCCATTGTCTAACACACCACACACACACACACACACACACACACACACACACACTGCCACTGTCCTCATATGTCTCTGATATCTGGAAGGTCAATCGAATGTCTTTTATTTCTGTTTGGGTTACTTATGCTGCTTCTTTCTTTGGAAGTGTTACTGAGTGAAAGCTGATTCCTGCTTGAACCTAGACTGAATAGAGGGCAGAAGAGGGAGCCATGGGAAGGCAGTGTGGGAAGACTCAGGCTGGAGAAAGAAGGCTCCAGGGCAGGGGAGCGGGTCCAGAGCAGCCTGTGGAGAGGCTGCCCAGGAGACCACCCTGAGCATCAGGCTGTGGGGGTGGTGTGATGGCAGAGATTGAGCTACAGTATCTTCCCTGGCAGAGCAGCAGGCAAAGTCATTGAAGGATAGTTGCAGTTTCTGGACAAATACAAGAAGAGATTGAGGACTGTTGAACCAAGGCTTTCAGAACAAGTTGAATCCTGGGGAAGCCCCGACTCCAACCTGGATGCCTGATGGAGGGTAGGTCATGGAATAAATAACATAGCCAGAGTGAGCTAGACTGGCTGGAGACACTTCAGGGAGAAGGTATTCACAGACTCAAAGTCAGAAGAACCAGAGCTGATTTCTGTGAACCGATGACATTAGCATATTTAAAGATCATGTCGAGGGGAGGAGGATGAGCTCAAGCAGAAATCTGCTGCTGTTTATTGAGCCCAGGGAGTCAGAACTAAAGAAGGGCATCCCTGGAGCTGTCCTTTTCCTAGAAACGGTGCTCCAAGGCCAGGGCTGGGATGTGGCCCTGGGGAGCAGCTAACCTCCCCTCTCCTCCTCCATCCCACAGTTCAGGGTTCCAAGACCCTTCTCAAGAATTTACTTCCTGCCAAGAATTTCCTGGAAGAGCACCCAGTCCACTCTATCTCGATGGTGATGGTGAGAGGGACTATATGCCAGGCACTGTGCCAAACCCTATCCCCTCAACAGCGCTAAGAAGATAACCATTCCTGTGCCCATTTAATAGATGAAATTATTGAGACCCCATTAAATCATTTTATAGAACTGTTCAGTTTGAATTTAGAAGAGCCTAGACTCCAGCTCAGGCCATCTGACTCCAGGACCAGTAGGCTACCCACTCACTCTGTATTCCCCTTTTGCTGGTAACAGTGGGGACAGTAGACTGGCAGTCTGGTCAGTATTCCATGCATTCATCTCTCTGGGAGTTAGTCACTGCCCAGAACCTGAAGACTCAGGACTCTGCCTCACCTGGACTGTATACAACACACACACACACACACACACACACACACACACACACACACACACAGTGGGTCTCATTTGTGCTCCTTCTACCTCAGCACCCACAACCCCATCAGAGTCAAGACCCCCAGGGACATTGAGCTGGGGACTAGGAAGGAGGATACTGTGTATGGGGGCATCTGGACAAGCTATGCTTCCCCGTGCCTCGGTTTCCTCACCAATCACATGACCTACAGCAACTCCAGCTCCAAAACGACTATCAGCTAGCCCCCTACATGCTGTGGATCTTGCTCAGTGTGCTGGGAACAGAGCGGGAGTCTGCACAAAACACAGAGTCCAGAGCAGCCAGGCTCAGCCGGATTTCAAAGGAAGCTGGTCCCGGCACTAGGACCTGCCTCTCCCCGGTGCCTCTGTACTCAGGAGCAGCCACCACAGATTCTGAGTGGTGAAGATGTCTCTACCTCTGAGAGACTACTTCTCTCCCTTTCCAGCTCCCGCTCAGGAAGGAAAGGGGGTTGGAAATCAAGAGAACAATCCACCTAACTGGCCTGAAGGTGGCGAGGGCTGTTTTTCAGGCTGGAGCGGAGTTAGAAAGCCAACCCAGATGAAGACCCCGAGGCGTGGCGGGACAACCCACCCCAACTCCAAGAGCTTGGCTAAGAGGGGGCGCTGTGGCCCCCCTCCATGCCCTGCCCTCTGGATTCCCAGCTGCGTTCACAGAGTCGCAGCGCACTATGCACCCCGCTTTTCCCTCTGCACTGTTCAGGTGCCCAGCACCGCTGTTTCCACTTCGTCTTGCAGATCCTAAGTAGGGCCTGGGTCAAACTGGCAGATTCTTAGTTTGAAAAGAAAAAAAGAATGAATGAAAGAACGAAAGATTTTAAAAGGAAGGGCTTCTGCCGCAGAGCTTTGGTGTCTCAGCACACCCTGGGTGTGTCTAGGCCAAAGGAACGCGGAGGGGTGGGGGTGGGGTCGGGCCAGGGCTGAAGTGTGGGCGACCGTGGACCTCCTGGCTGGCTGCAGGGCGGGAACGACCCAAACGTAGCTCCCGGCTTCTTGTTTCCACGTAGGTTGAGCTTGGTGGAGATCGTCCTATTCTCCAGATCCTATTAGCCTCCTAAATTCCCCCCCAGAGACCCTCAAGTCCCCGAGACCCCCGATTCCCTTGGTCCCGACCTCCAGCCGCACAGGAGGCGAGAAGAGAAAAGCTGACTGCTCTCCCGCCGCCGCCTCCCGGATCCCTGGTTCTCCTAGAGCTGCAGCGACCGCCACTGCTGCCTGCGCGCCCCGCGCACTGCCGCAAACTGGGGTGCGGGGAGAGGGGGGGGGTCAGCACGGCCAGGGCGCAGGGAGCCGGCCAGGGGCTGAGCAGCGGACCGAGGAGGCGGGAGCCGGCGGAGGGGCGAGGCGCGGAGGAGGGACTGGAGGAGAGGGGAGGGAGAAAGAGGTGGGGACGCGAGGCGAGGGGGCGGGGAGCCGAAGCGAGCGGCAGGCGGACGGTGGGGGAGGCGGCGGGGCTAGGCGGGCTCCAGGCGGGAGAGAGGTGGCGGCGGGCCGGCTAAGTAGGGAGACCGAGACCAGACTTGATCGCGAAGGGCGAGCCAGAGCCGGCCGGCGGGGCGGGGCGGGGCAGCAGGGTGCGAAACCGGGTGCCTAGGAGCAGCGCAGCGCAGCGGCCCGAGAGACCCGCCGCCCACCGGAGACCACAGCCGCCCGCTCTCGGCTCTGGGATGTGGGAGGGATCCAGGCATCCAGGACACTGACGGTGCGAGCCCGAGGATGGGACGGCGCCCGCAGCTTCCGCTTGTGAAGGTAAGAGCGGACCGACCCACCTGGGATCAGAGGCGCGCTGGGCCGGGCGAGCGCAGGACAAGCGTGGGCAGGGGTGCTGGGGGAGGGGAGCAGGGAACCCGGCGCATCCCGGGAGACTGGGGTGCAGCCTGATGTCCTCTACCTGGACCTCTGATGCCTGGCTTCGGAGACAGAGGAAGAACTCCGGTGGAAAAAGAAGGGGTGGTGGCGAAGCTGCTGCGGTGCTGGAGGAGGAGGGGGTCCGCCCACTCGAGGAACCGACTCTGCGCTAAGAATCAATGCAGTCTTAGGGGCCGAAGCTACATCCCCTTCAAGCTCTGGAGGGGGTACCCGTCCCAGCCGGACACCCTCCGAGCCGCCCCTGTCCGGGTCCTGGGCGCGCTCTCCTGCCGGTCCCTCTCGGTAGAAAGCCTCGGGTTCTGGAGGTAGATGCAGCTGGCGCCTCGCGGCCCTCGATCTACACAGAATCTCTGGGATGAGACGGTGCCGCGCGCCACCGTGTCCGGCTGGTTCCCCCACCCCCGCGCCCCCGGGCGCCGCAGTCTCGGAGTGCGCTAGTTCTTGCCACCGGGCTGGGGAAGCGGTACCGCCGCCCGGAGTTTCGTAAAGTCTCCAGCAGGCGTTTGCAGCGCCTGCTGGATGAAGTTCGGGGGGCGACTTGGGCCTGTGAGGGGGTGGACAGAGCCAGGGAAGAACTAGGTGCTTCGCAACCCGGCCCGCAGCTTAGGGACAGGCGTCACTTTGCTGGTGCTAAGCGCGTCCAGGAGCGCACGGGCTCACTGGGTACCAGCACCTCGGCGCTGATGCCTGGGAAGATGAGTGGGCCTGGGCGCTGTTGCCCGGCTGCCCCGATTGCCATGCCTATGTCTCAGGACTGTGCACGACCGAGGGACCTCCTGGGCCCCAAGCAGAGACACCGGGTTAACTGTGACCAGGGCACTCAAAAGCGATTACATTCAAAAGATTTAAGTAGATTGGGGGTTGGGGAGCAGTACAGGTTGACTGACTTTTCCATCAGTTTGCTTGCTCAAAAAGCATTTAAGTTAAATCACTACGCTTTTAAAATGTGATTTACTGCCCGGCTCACCAGTGACTCAGGCTCCCATGTCCTCCCTCTCCAAATGCTCAAAGGTTGTCTTCAAATCTATCTTCAAGGTAGCTTCAGTAAACCTAAGGGCTGGAGCCAGAGATTGTTTTCCGGCGACTAAAGTCTCCCGCAAAGAAGGTAGGGAGATTCTGGGAGGTTGCATAGATAAGCATCGACGGAAGTTTTCCCCAAAGCTTCCCTGTGTACTGGACCCTGATCTAAATTAAAGGAGGGGTTAGGATGCATTCTTTTAAGCGAATTCAAAAGATTTGGGCTGTGGATTTTTTTTTTTGAGTTTACATGGAAATCGACAAATGTTCTTTCTCAACCCCTTCTTAGAATTGTATGCAATGACCTATTTAGAATGTTCACATTTCTTAACATAAAAAGGCTCCCCCCCCCACCCGCCTCTTGTTCCTACTGGCTAGTGGGAGTTGGGGAACTTGTCTCACCTGATATATTCAGCGTGTTCTCAGGAAACACTGAGGTGCTTGTGGTATTTGTACGCTACACACACATTTCCTGGTATTAGTCTAGCTGCTTTATAAATATTTAGTCTTCGTAACAGTCCAAAAAGTAGGAATTATATCCTAAACATAGAGTCTAAGCTATTTGCTCAGAAAGGGGCACCGTGAGCTTGACAGTCAGCAAGTCTGACTTTGCCCTTAGCTTGTGCACACAGATTCAAACCCAGGCACTCCCGACTAAGACTTTGTTTCGTTAGTTTTTGCCAGTAAAAAGTCTAGCCACTTAAAACTCACTCTCAATCCCTGAGAAACTGGCTGAGAACCTGAGAGTTTCATCCATTTGAACATAGATATCTAGGGAACTTGGAAACCATGCAAAAACCAGCTCTGTCACTGATGATTGCCAGACAAGACATGCTGGGAAATGGGTCACTCAGGGGTCCGTAGTGTGAGTTTCACATTGAGCTGCTTATAGAGCATTGTGGGAGAGTGTAAGAAAGATGAAGAACATATTGCGTGTGTGTGTGTGTGTGTATGAGTGTGCGTAGGGACACACACACACATACACGCTCACCAAGTGAAGGGAGATATGTGTGTGGAGTGCTTGTGGATAAGAATACAGGTGATATGGTCCCTCTCCCAGTCACCCCACTAGCTTATCCTCCTGGAGACAGGTCATATTCGGGTGACAGGTGACTCTTGACAGTGATTGTGAAGGGTGAATCAGGCCTCTGCGGGGTTTTAAAGGACAATGAGTGTCCACTGGCTTCCAGGGAGGCCAGTTTCATTGCTGTTGTTATTGCTTATAGTGATTTAGAAACGTTAGGCGCAGTCTACAAACCAGAGGAGGAAATAACTGTGACCTCACTCCTTACCTGCTGCTATGACTGTTTAGCAATGATCCTTGCTGGTCCTGTTTTTAAAGAGCAGGATTGGACATTGCTGTGACTATCAGACAGCCCCCTCTCTTGATGCGTCACCACCCCAGTCTTGTCCCATGCCATTTCTAAGTCTTCAGAGGGAGCTTGCCCACTGCTGTGGAATGGCCGTGGTTGACGATGAGTGGTCCTCTCTTCCATGGTTTCTTTACTTAAGTGCTAATGGAGTTGAGTTTCCTAGAGGTGCTGGGAAGAATAGAATTGGGGGGGGCAGTGAGCCAGGGTGGGACTATAGGCTGTGGAGTATAAAGTGCTCTGGCCACAGACCTGAAGCAGAATAGGAAAGGGAAGCCCAGACCAAGGGCAAACCATGGGATTTGACATCCAGCCTAGGGAGAAACTGGCAGCTAAGGCCCCTCTCAAAGCTTGCAGACACAAAAAAATAAGCCACTGGCGTGAAGCTCAAGTGGACAATCCATTTCCTACCCTTGCTGACATTTGACTCCTTGGGGGGCATCAGCAGCCAGCAAAAAAATTGACCTCACATCTTTAGGGATCAAATGTGCCCTTTGGTTCTATTGTTAGCATCCAGATTCTTGCCAAGAGCCCAAGCTCTGGTTCTAGGGGGTGGGACTGATGGGGAAGTAAGGCCTCCATAGAGGCAGCAAGGTGCAAGGCTGAGAATTTCAGTAGCGGAAAGGCTCAGCACCTTAGAGTCAGAAAGCCTGACTTTGCTGTTAGCTCTGCATTCAATGCGCTGTGATTTCAAACAGGTCACCTTCCCTCTCTGAGTCAGTTTTTCTGTGCCTGTGTGTGAACTGACTCCCTTTACTGGATTATCTCACTAGAAGGTTCACAAGAGCAGGTCCAGCAAACTGAGTTCCCAGTTCTGCTCCTCTTCATCTGGGGACCTCAATGTAAGGAGACCCAGGACACATTTCTGAGCCTCGGTAGTCCCAGCTGCCATTTCCCCTTTATAGCACTGGGCCTGAAGACCCAGTGAGAACACAGAACGTATTTAACAGATAGCTTGGGACTAAGATGAGGGTTGTATTGCCACCTCCTCCTTTTGGTTGGTACAGTTGTTGCCTCACTGGGACGTGGATGTCACCTCGGAAGACAGGAGCCAGAGGCTTAGATGAAAAAGCAAAGCAGCAAAGCAAAACCACCTCAGATATGGAAAGCACTGGAACCCCACCTTAAGCCTCTGTGGTTATTACAAAGGAGAACAGAAAGCAGCTGGCACCAGCACATCGCACCAGTGACCTGCAGCCTATGGAGGCTGGGGATGCAGCCATGTAGGGAATCTGGAAAGGTTGAGTGGGTCCTGCAAGGTTTTCCCCTTCCTGCCCCCTTCTGGGTGACAGGAGAGCTGGGGGTGCTGCCTTTCATCTCGGATTCCACCCTGACCATTTCTGGACTCTCTGGAAATGAGAGCCCATTGAGGACAGGAGGACAAGCAGAGGTTTTGACTGCAGTTTTCTGGTCAAATAATGAATTGTTAACTAGGAATGACCCCTGTCCTGTAGAAGTCCCTGTCAGCCGAGACATTTGCAAGCCACACTCCAATTCCTTTTAAAATTCTCACGGCCAGGCATTTTCTTGGGGGAATTGGGAACATCAGTGAAGCAGATGTAGGCTTGGATCCTGACTCAGTATGAGGCTCTGAGAAGTAGGCTTAGTAATCTGATCTCTTTCTTTATGGTTTAAAGGATGGCAAAGATGAAGCTGGAGAGACAGCCCAGGTAGTAGCATGCCTGTTGTGAATGTATGAGGACCAATACAATGTTTGGGTCCCCAGAATCCACTTTTAAAAACTTGGCCTTGGCAGTTTATGTTTGCAACTTCTGGGCTTGGTGAGTCGGTGGGGGACACAAATCCCTGAAGCCCATTCATTAGTCAGCCAGCCCAGCCTAGCCTAATCAATGAGCTTCAGCTTTCATCAAAGACCCTGTCTGAGAAAAATAAGGAAGGGTCATAAAGATACCTAATATCTCTATCCTTCCCCCACACATGCACAGATGAGCATGCATTACCCACACTAACAAGCACACATATCACACATGCAACACAACACACATATACACTCTCCCCATAATTGGGAAAATGGGATAACCATGACCTCCTGCACTATTGGGTATAGAATGAAACAGTCCTAAAGTGTCCCGTATACAGTCTTTCCTTAATAAGTATGTGCTAGAGCGGTCCTATAAGATATCCTAGCTATGACTCCAGTCTAAGAAAGGCCATCAAAAGTGGGGAGGGGGAGCTGGAGATGTAGCTTATTTGGTTGTGCTTGCCCAGCATGCAGAAGTCCTAGGTTTGGCCTCCAGCATTGCATGAACCAGGCATGATGGCTCATGCATCTGTCATTCCAACACTCTGGTAATAATAAGAATTAGAAGTACATGGTCATACTGGGCTACATAGTGAATTCCAGGCCAGCCTAGGTTACATAAGACCCTATCTTTTAAAATAAATCAACCAAACCAAAACAAATAATAAAAACTAAAAGAGGAGGAGAGGGAAGAGGGAGGAAAGGAGTGGGGAGGGGGAAACCTTCTCCCTGTGCTTTTCATGCTTCACTCCGGGGGTGGAGGAGAGGCTAGAGCTACCAACCTGCCTCTGAGCTCAAGGTCAGGGGTCACAGTGACCTGTGAAAACATCTGTCAGTTAAAGTAGACAGCTTGTAAGGAGGGTAATACAATGTGGTTAACTTTCGGATGGAAACAATTGTTTCAAAAACAACTCTCTGGAGTCTGTGAGGCAATAGAGTATTAACCACTGATTTTCAAAGCAAGGTGAAAGTAAAAGGCAGGACCTCAGGGAGTGAGGGAAGCCTCTCCTGGTAGAATTTCATCTCAAAATTGGGGCAGGTCCTTCCTTCTGTATGATGTGGACATGTTAGGATTCTACTCCAGGACTCAGGTCCCTATGCCCAGAGCCACCTTTTGAGATGCCTCAGCCAAACCTACTCTTTGGCAGTCATCCACCCAGAAACTGCTCCGGGATTGCAAGAAGATGCTATGGAAACAGACAATCCTGCCACTGGTCTGTTGGCCCAGGGAACAGCAAACTACAGGAGCCCAGAGGTGGTCTGAGTGGCACCCTCCCTCCTCCACTGTCAACCTAATCTCTGATCTGGTGGGGAGCCAGGGCACCTAGATCAGAGTTCAGAAGAGAAACTGGCTGGGCAGGTCCAGGTGCTTTACTGCCATGGT